ATGACACCGAATGCTGCTGCATCCGCTGCAATCGGACGGGCCCGCAGGGCGTTGTTGAACCACGCGAGGTCCGTGTTGCTCTGGGGCATCACGTTCTCGACAAGCACTTCGAATTGCATCTGCATGATATGCTTCAAGACTGCAAGGCTGCTAAGAACTCCGCAAAGACGACGAACAAAGATTCAGAAGCCCTTTCGCGTCCTTGGGCAGTCGTTGGTGCTCGAGAAATCAGGGCTCTGCGGGCCTTCACTAGCACCACAGACTTGTGCTTATGCAGGAGCTGGGTGCCACGGCCACTGCAGCCGGGTCGACCAGCTTCTCGCAGTCCCCGAACCAGGAGAGGAGGTGTCTATGTGCCATGAATCGACATGTGGGGTACCTCACCCGTGGGTGAGGTCCCATGCTGTCCCTACTCTTTGTCCCGCTGGCCGTCAGCTTTCCATGCCTGTCGCGTCCACTGCTTCTGTCCGGAGGATCGTTATCCTCCTTGGTCTCCCCTCCCCCGCCATGTACTCGTTCTACAAAGGGCGGAGTCTGCCAGGATCGCATCACTAGCCTCGTTGTAAGTCCTGCCAGCCCTCAAGGCCATGCACATGCTCCACGAAACCGCCGAGTAGTCTCGATCTTCTGTGGTCTCTTGCGGACCCGCCAGATCATTTCTTGAAACAACTTCTTTACCTGCACCTCGGCCTGCACCTCGAAAAGGATATGACATCATTGCACTGCAGTCAGGCCGTCTACTACAGACCATAAAGAACGTGGTCCCCGTACCGCGTCTTCTCCGGTCTGCAGCTGCTGCCCATCGAACAGAAACTTTGTTCCGCTCTTTCGGATGGCTACATGGTTGATTTCTCCAGTGCTCGTGAAGGAGTCGCTTCCTCAGAAGTTCTCCGAGTTCCAGCCGAGTTCCAGTGGAGAGTATGCCGAGAGACACAATGTTCATGATGGAATCTTGCTCCGCACCCATGAGTTCCTTAACCGGGAACTCTCGCTCGACATTGGGCACCCTCTCATCTCCGGCCATTTTGCAGCCGCCGTGGTGGGCGCGGCGTGACAGCTGCTTGTGGTGCAGCCCTAGCCAGAGCGGTTTTTCAGTGGCCAGCAGCTCCAACGTAGTAGAGCCTGTATCGAATCTGTTGAGGGGAGGCTGTGACTGTGCTCTCGAAGTCATCACCACTTCTGGCAAGCATCGCGAAAATTCTCACCGAAACTATCCTCCTGGCCTGGAGACAGACCTGCACCACGGATCCGGCCCTTACTTCCCGAGCCAGCGCATCCACGGACCCAGAATGGGCCTAGGCAGGCGAAACAATGACCCCTGCCGCCCTGAGTCCTATCTGGCGCAGCACAAGCCCCAGTCGAAAAATGTCGGGCAAGTTCCTCATCTCGACCCTAGCCCTCACTCGCTTCGCACAAGCTCAACTTCGCTCGCTCACTGATGCACGAATCTGCTGGACATGCACGTCGTGTGTGACATGTCGCAACACTCGTCTCGAGGTTTAGCACTCTACCGCGCTCGGCTTGCCCCTACCACCCACCGGGTGCCCTTTTGCGTGGCCGTGCTCTGCAGCCTATACACGGCACCGTCATTCCACACGTGAAAAGCTCTAGCTCTAGTCCTCTCAAAAGCTGCTTCAATGTCTCGTCCTATGTCAGCGAAGTTGATGTCGAAGGAGTCGAGATCCTGGCAGCGCGTGAACCCGGAACATGACAAGAAACTCACGCTCTCAAGAAGTTGCACGAGCTTTGTCTTCAAGACAACCGCACTCACCCACAAGAGTTTTGCAATCTGGCCGCGTGCCCCTACGCCTTCATGCTCAACTGGCTTATGATCCAGACGAACTGCTGTCATCTGAGCTCGACGATGAATCAAACCCCGAACCGGATCCTTGACTGGACACCTCGTGTCCGTCTGTCTTTCTCCATATGAAAGCATCGGCAGCATTTCACATCAGAAGATCCCGGAGCATAAAATCAGTGAAAACGGCTCGCACCGTAGCGCCAGCCAGCCGCACACCGTTGCCGTGGCGGTTTCTCGGCTTCCGGCACCGCAATGACACGGTGCTTTCTGAACCTTCCCTGAACGATGTTGTAATGATGTAACCCGGCCGATCCCGCAGGACTGCCAGCGCTTACTGGCTTACTGCATGAGCTGCCCAACTCCGCCAGCTCGAAGCTCCCTTGTCATGGGATCCTGACCCTCTGCGGGCTCGTTGTCACAGTCCCTCCTGGCTCTGCGGTGGTTCTTCACTCGCCCTGAGCCAGCCTCATCATGCATCATCGCTATCCTGGATCAAGACAGCGCGCGGTAGCTCTTGTTGGCTCTTAGGCGTCACCCTCTCCATGCTGGCCACACTTGCCCTATTCTTGAGACGAACAGCTTCCATCGCTGCTTGCATCGAGGCCATGCGCAAATTCGGTTCTGTGGAAAGTCCTGCCGTCGGCTTGGTCTCCACAGCCCGCATGGGAACCCCCGCTGCCAGCAGCGCATGGGCTTGCATTGGATCGCTCGCACCGACAAGACTGGGCAAAAGCTGTCAGGCCCCTAAGTCGTCAGGTCTCCCAAAGCTCCGCTCAGCCATGTTGAGCCTAAAGGATAACATGCGAATGTGATCGAATGGAACGCACATCTCCTATGACGCGCACCGCTAAGCACTTCAGTAAGCCTGGTGTCCTGTGTCTTGACATCGACGACCATGACGACCCACCAAGCCCAGAGCTAGCGTGATCTCGGCCGCAACAGAAACATGCTCTGGGGCCAATTTTGAATTTGCAAACGCAAAAACTCGGGACTCCTCGCACTTCAAGGTCGTGCGCACATCCAGAGAGGTGCTACTGTAGTTCATCTTTGTCCTGAGAGCAGACGTCGAACCACACGTCAAAGAGCACATGTCGCACAAGCTCATAACCGGCTTCATACGTATCCAGCCTTATCCAGCGAGATGTAATGCAGGCAGGAATGAGCATCGATGCATTCTGCGGGGCTGCACGCAGCCGTGGCCCGATCGCCGCGCAAGCTATCAAAACTTCAAGACGTCATCGAACCCAGATTCCTCGGGCCCGGAACGCTTGTGCGACCATGCCCCTTGGCGCCATATTCTTACTAATCAACCCGTTCTGAAGCTCAGCGATCTCTTGAGTCGCGAGCTCTATCACATCAGCGAGTTTTTGCCTGAAGGTGCCGTAACTCGATGTAATTGAAACTCGCTAGTAGTGCTGAAACTCCAACACAGCACTAACTAGCTTGTCTGGCCGCCCATGCTCTGTTTCGTCCCGGTTGTGTTTGAGACACGTGTTCCTTCACACAACAGTGCTGACATGCAGTTGCAGTGCGGCACATGACGAGCAGCACTGCTGTTGTATGTGTCGGCAGTGTTTGTGCATTTCACTGAGTGACGTCTTGATGGGCTGGTGGGTCGCTGCTCTGTGACAAAGTCCCAACCAAATGTAGTTACTATGTAGTTCAAGTCCTTCGCCAAACATTTGCCTTGAAACTATGGTTGTGAGAAGGAGTTCTCGCTAAATGGCGAGCTCCGAAAAGCAACGTAAGTCACTGTGCGTTTGCGCCTGTGGAAAAGAACACTTCTTGATGGTGTGGGCTCTGGCCAAGATCCCGCTCAAGAGGACTGGCTCAGGCGAGGCGGTGAGCATGCTGGGCAGATCTCGAGTTTTGCAGATCCATTGTAGACAGTGCCTTTGTTCTACAAGCCCAAGGAGAACCCGACGAAGTCGAAAGCAGGTTGGTTCACGCAAGTGCTTGCCGATGAGAAGCTGGGCTCCAGGAAATCAGGCGTACCGTTTCTCTGAAATCCAAAGCCTGTTGTCCACTTAGCACAGGCAGAGAAGGCTGCAGTTCATAGAGGAGCACGTTTGTCGATCTTGCGCCATGTTTCCTCCTGGGATGCAACCACCATGCTACAAAGAGCTGGCGAAAGTGGCAAGCCCATGGGCGAGCCATGTGTTTGGCGAAAACCGCATTTGGACACCTGGAGTGCTGTGGAGCCAAAGCATGCCGGATGATCGTGGGAATGTCCTCTGCCCGCAGCAGTGCTTGCCTGCTGGCGCGGCATCTTATCTTGCCCCTGAAGATGCAGTCTCCATGTGGCTGCCGGATTTTGGTCCATGTTCTCACTTTCAAGCCAGAGTCTTTCAAGATTTGCAATTGGGGAGCATTAGAGCAGAACCAATACAAGGCACGCAGGTACTGGAAGGGCGTGACGCAGGTTGGCAATAAATACGGAAGTGGCTTGCTGTTCTCTGAGATCCACAGTGAACACGGCATCGAGATCGAGTCATATCGAGTCCGTGTCGTTGTCGATGGTCTCGGGTGATTTTCAAGGCTTGCTGGAGCTGTGCCGTGGATGCCGTGGAGATGCTGGTGAAAAACCGCTGAGGTCTTGGTTGCGATTCTCCCCAGCCTCCCGCATCCCCCACTTTCGGCCCGTCAAACCTCAACCCACCTCCCCTGCCAGCCCAACGTTCTGGACTTTCACCTCCACCGTCCTTCCCTTCACGCGCTCACCACATCTCCTTCTGCAGTGCTATCACCTCTCTTTAGTTTTTCGCGTTCGTAGAGTTTTTTCGGACTCGACGCGGGTCATGTTCCGACTCGACTTTTCCGATTTGCTTGGGCTGTTTGTTTCTGGCTCCTGCTCGTCTGTTTCGGTCGTCTGCCGCACTCCCCTAAACCCTGGCCTCGCTTCGTTTAATCTTCTTGCAGGATACGCACCCATCCTAGTTCGGTACTGAATGAGCCACAAAGAGCCACCACCCAGCAGTCCGTCTACCTATTTACAGTTTCCGCCTTAAACCCCCATTGGTTGTTGACAGTTTGGCCGTTTTGAGTTGGGCGTCTGCAACAGGCAACTGAGGCCTGCTTACGTCCGAAGAAGGGGACCACGAAAACGCAGGCTCTGCTTGCAGGAAAATGGAGCTGGGCTTCAAGCCGGTCTTAAAGTCTTAAGATTACCAGCAGCTGAAGCAGCTAAAAACGCCTGATCTCACTGAGGCCTGGGCAGAAAAACGAGAGGTTGCTTGCGCTCTGCGTAGCGCTCCAACGATGCCTCCACAAGTGTTGAGCAGAGTCGTCTTGCATATGCGCATGCGCCGTGCCCTCCATTGGCTTTGCCATGCTTCCCGGCCTTTTGCATACAGAGCTCCGCTAACTTGCAGACCGCATCCACCACATCTTTGGCAACGTGCCTGCCATGTTGGCGACTTGCTGACATGCCCGGGATAGAGGAAGCATCCATCACACCCGCCTGTCCTTGGTGGACGGTGTTGTCCCGTGTCTTCCGTGGTTAAAGGTGGCTCCATCCGGGCGCTCTGGAGCATCTGAATGGCCGAAGCCAAAAACCTTTTTGCCGCAAGCAGCCTGTGAACGACTCGTGCATACAAAATCGAGCTCGATCAATTCCTTCCTTCTCGCTCCACCGAATCGCCCCCATTCAGGAACGTGTGAATGTGCTGCGAACATTGGCCTATGCCTTCCTTTGATGGCACCGAGTGGTAGAGCAAACGTACGTATGGGCTGCAGCCCCGCCTCAAAGCCTGGCCCTTGGCCCAGCTGAGGTCGCGCTGAAGCGTTTCATCCTTGCAAACTCAAGACAAAGAACTCAAACTCGCATTGACATGGCAGCTGGGCCCACCGTCTCGTGGCCAACCAATCGACATTGGAGCTTGACCAGCCTGTGCCATGAAACCAATGCAAACACAGGAAGCATCCATGAACATAGCAGACAGCAGCAGAAACTGGAAGAAGGACAGCCTGGCTACCACATCGTTGCCACCTTCTGGACGGTGGAAGTGCATGAGGGGTCTGCGTTCTTTGGAAGTCCGAGGCCCTCTGTTGCTGTATCTGTGTACTGCTCATCTCTACATGGTGACTCTCCGAAAGCCAGCAGGGAGAAGCCTCATGTCGGTATTCTGCCAGGTTCGTGTAGAAAGATCAACGATATTCGGTCCGAGGGCTGGCGAGAAAGATGAGCCCTGTCCCAAGGCTGCATGGGCCCATCTGCATGGCATAACATGTGGAACTGCTGGCTGGCATCTGCTTTTGACAGCAACTCCACAAATTGCAGAAGGCCTGGCGATAAGTATTGCTTCGATTGAACTATATGGCGTCTGGATGCATGCTCACACCGTACTAATTACAACATCTTGGTGCAGGGATGGGCGCGATTTTCTCGCTGTGACACGCGCCACTCCTGGAATCCAAGTCTTCGCCCGGATCGCAGGCTTCGCTGAGCAAAAAGGCACACTGCCATGGTGCGCACACCGATCCCTGCGACATATATGCATGCATGGTAGACTGATCGATAAAGAGATACCATCACTGAGGGAACACTGCTCGACATGTTCAACTTCTGCGCGTAAGCATGCACATCAAGTGTGTTGGCTCGTTTCTGGCCTTCTGTGCCCCGGGGGTCTCGAGGTTGTTGTGTTGACCAAGACCTGCTGCACCTCGAAGAGGACATCCAATACACCCCGATGCTCCCTCCAATTGTGTAGGACTCGGCGGCATTTCCGCAGCAACCAACTGGTTCGCTCGCCTTTCTTCCTTCCCCACGGCTTAGGTGCGACTCATGCCTCTAGCGTCCTCCCATCTCCCAGTTTTTTGAGTGAACGGCTTCAGAAGACTTGGGTAGGCAGCACAACCCGCAAAATTTCCGAAATTACCCTGTTGCCCCGCCTCGTCCCCGCGCCCTGAATGGCACACAGCGACTGATGCACCAACAAACAGCATTGAAATTGATTTCTGCCCTCGTCTAGGGCGGCACTTAATTTTGACCCCTGTTCACCGGGATTTAACATTTAAAGCATTCGCTCCACTGAGAAGAGAGAGAGAGAGAGAGAGAGCGAGAGCGAGAGAGAGAGAGAGAGAGATAGAGAGAGCGAGCGCGAGAGAGAGAGAGAGAGCGAGCGCGAGAGAGAGAGAGAGAGAGAGAGAGAGTGTGTGTGTGTGAGTGAGTGCATGTTAGAGCGGACATCCTGACTCTAGGCTAATAGTCTTTTGGACATTCCGCTCTAGAAGAATGCAAGGGGGTGAGGCCACAGCCAACGAAGACGCCCGTTGAGCCTGATATGAAACTGGCAGACTAGGATCACATACCTGCAAGCTATGTCTCTCTGTCTGTCTCTCTCTGTCGGTCGGTGGGTCGGTCGGTTGTGTGCGTGTGCGTGGAGGGCGGCGGGAAGGTGAGCAAACACTTTCGGATGCCTACGCACGTCGGTTCGTGCTGCCAAGGATGGAACAGTTCACCGTGGCATGCCATATGCGAAGGCTCGCTGCACTGTGTTATGTCAAAAGACAGATCAATTCATCTCATGCCAAACAAGCATAGGCGTGGAGCTCAGTATGTATTTGGTAGGAGCCTTCTGCTGCAAAATGCTTGGAAAAGGACAGCTCCTGCAACACCGTGTGCAGCTCAACTGCAGGGCCAGTGATCTGCGTCGTGCGAATTGAAAACTCTCAGCTACTCGCAGCTTGGGCCAGATGCATGCACATCATCAAGGGCTGTAAAAGCCGTCCCTTCCCTCTGAATTGCTCATGCTCCCGAACTAGCACCAGGTCCAAGCCACGCTAGAGACATCAATCAGATGCGCTTGTCTTATGGCCAAGACGTCTTGATAGATGCCATGAACTTGTCCAACGCTTGCTTGGGAGCCATTCCCAGCACCTCGTTGCCATCGACCGCTTTGATTTTCCAGCCGACCTCCAACAACGGACAAGTCCACAATCACGAGCAAAAGAAGAACCTCAAAAGCCTCTGCGCCGGCTTGGACCGTTGCGAGGCGATAGATTTCCAGCCTGCACGTCAAGACCCTTCTCCTTGACGCATCCCGTGTCAGTGATGGCGGACACCGTCCTGACAGATACCGCGACCCAGCGCGCCCTTTCACAACAGCCAGTTCAGCTACACACATACAAATCTGGCAAGCATCATCGGAGTTTTGTCCGATGCCTTGCAGCCGCGCATGCTTGCAGGCACTTCTCAGTCTGCACGACATGTTGGTGTTGTGAACCCTGTAAGCTCCAGACGAACTTGAATCCCAAAGGCTTCTTCTCAAAAATGACATCCACAGCCTTGGATAACGTGGTCATGCCACCGACACTTGTGATCCTAGCGCACATTTGCGATCCTAGCGCAGCGGAACGGACCGCTGACAGTAATTTCTCGGCGTCTTTGCTACCATCTAAGATGTCCTTCGAGAGATGCGCGTGCTGACACTTCTTGTTCGCACCGCTACGACACTTCTACAAGAAGCTGCGAACCGGTCGATGAACAAACTCTGGCTGGCAAACAGGCTTTGTACATGCAGTGAAGATCAGAAGTGCCAGGAAGCTACGGGAACAAACTCGGTTCCAAGAAGGAAAGCAGACAGCGAAAGAGCTAAACCCCCCAGCAACGGCAAGGAAGAACCAATGAAGCGTAAACATCCTTTCGTCCGAACAAAGACCACAACAGTCGTTGACACGTTGAAATCGCACTGCGTGCGCTGACGTCATGTCTGACGCAGAGATCGTAATAGATCGTAGAGTGTAAACAACGTCGGGGGCAACGTAGAGCTTCGGCTCCAGGAGGTTAAATCAAGCTCTTTCATCTGTTCTTTCATCATTGGAAAGCCATGACGGGTCCAAATCCTGACTCCGGAATCCTACAAGAACCTGCGTGCGGTCGGGAACCAAATCAAGAACAAATGTTCGCCTCCCAAATCCTCTGAGTGAGATGGAGACGGCATGACAACCATTGCTCGTTGAGCAGCTTCTTCCCTCTCGTTGAGGAACGTGATCCTCAAACCTGGAAGTGAATCCTGGAGAGAGGATTGGAACTTGTCAATGGCTTCCTTTGGAGCCACATCCAGTACATTGTTGTCGTTGAGCGCCTTGATTTTCCAGCCAACCTTGCAAGATGCTCAGCAAGCTATGACTTATGCAGCTGGCCACCGCTGTCCAGCCTGCACGTCAAGACCCTTCTCCTTGACGCATCCCGTGTCACTGATGGCGGACACGGTCCTGAACGATACCGTATCCCAGCACACTCTAAGATCACAGCCGGTTCAGCCACCGAAAACACCGAAAACCAAATCTGGCAAGCATCATCGGAGTCTTGTCCGATGCCTTTTCAAGGTCTGCTACGCGCAGGCACGCTCCAATGTGATGCGGTGCGACTGTGCTACCGTGTAAGCTCCGGACAAATCTGAAACCCAAAGGCTTCTTCTCGAAGATGACATCCACAGCCTGGGGTAGAACAGCATCCGGGGACACCAGCATCAAGGACAAATGGTATGCATGGTGTAGTGCTCCGTGCCACAAGCCAAAAGAGAGAGAGTCAGAAGCGCAAAGATCTCGCAACCATGGCATGAGGGAGGCTGGGGGAGAGAAAGAGTGTTGAGTCGGCCATGATGTTCCTCAACAAAGCAGCCTCGTCTTTCGCGTTGAGGAAAGTGATCTTGAGGCCCCTTAGTTGGGCTGGTTGTGCCACGTCCAAGCTGTCTGGCCAGTGCTCTGGAAACGTTCTGTGACCAAGTCTCTGAGGCTTCGCCGGCGGTTCTGGCGCAGCAGTTTCAACCGGCTCGGCTTTGTCCACCTTCTCTTCTGGTTTCTGGACCGTCGATGGTGGCTCGGTCTCGATCTTTGCCGGCGCCTCGAACAATAGCTCAGAATACAAGCTCGGCAAGTTGCAGAAAGCGCCAGCGAACCTTGTCGATCGCAATCACCTGTGGCAGCTGCTGACGCGTGACAAGCTGCTCGCACCCCACTGCTGCCTCCGTCCGCGTCTCCTCCGCGCTGCAGATGTTGCCCATGGCTGCTAACTTGGTCTGATCGAGAAGACAACTGCGGCAGGCCGTGGAGACTTCTGCATGTTTTCAACAGCAAATCAACATGCCCCAGTATGCGCCTCTTTTTACCACCCAGCGTCCGAGCTCAGGGTCTGGCTGTCGGGATGTCCCAGCCGGTCATCTGCACCGAGGGACCATCAACGATTCCGCTGCAGGTGCTGCTGCTTGCGGGCGCACACGAACCAATCCTGCGGACGAGTGACATCAACATCGCCATCAAGCTGCCCCAAGACGTAGAAAGAAGCATGCGTGCATCGTGCAAAACTTTGCTGAATCTCCGACAAGAAGCTGTTATTGCCTTTGCCACTCCCTTCTCAGCTGCCCAGGTAGGCACACCTCCTCCGGCTTCGCTCAGGAGAATATAGTAGACCTTCCACTTGCCCCTCACTCCGGATCCCGAGCGAGCACCTGCAGATCACAGTAAGGCAGTGGTCCAGAAAGCAAGGTGTCCAAAGGCAGGAAGCGCTCTGCAGACAAGATGGTCATCTCACTGGACGGATGCTTCTTCTTAGCAGTACGACGATTTAAGAGAACCCGGGCCACCTTCATCCATAGGTTCGAAGATGTAGCCACCTTGGACCAAGCTGATCACCAGACTTCACAGAACGCCTACGCTACCGCAAAAAGAGACCACTCAGAGACAATCGCAGTTACCCGTAAGAAGCACCTCATCTGCCAGGCCGCTCGTGTGGTCGATCGCGCGAGTCCTACCCGGTGATGGTGGTGCCGATGACAAAGTTTTCAGAGCATCTTTCTGTCTGATCTTCTCCACCAGCAGCGGACTCTGCAAGCCAAGGGCACCGCCAAGAATTGATCCATCGGGCTGGGCAGCTGGGTCTCGCACAAGAGAATCTACTTCGCGAGCGGAGATGAGACCCAAAAGCATTGGTTTTGTGATAGTACGGACCAAACGGGCTTTCGGACCCTTACGACCGACGTGCTTGCGAGTCACGATGGAGTCCAAAGCAGGGTCGAAGCTTAACTTGAGGCAACTCTCGGATGCCTCTGTCAGCAGCAGCAGCTCGTCAAGGCTTGTATCATCCCATACTGCACTTACCATGTGCAGCCTTACAGGAAATCCCTCCATCCTCTTGGCACAGTGAACGGCATCTTGCAGATCGGAAAGCTTGACGATTTTACCTTCCAGATGCCCAAAGCATTCAAGTCCGGCAAAGCCAGGCCCAACTGAGGTTTCCGCTTTCATCCCACCAAGATGCTGGTGCCTTGCACACTACCGGCGCAAATCACGCTGAAGCACGCTCACCGCCGAGCCTGTGACCACCCGCGGAGGGTGCGCATTCCAGCATCCAGAACGGACAGCAGAAGATCTTCATCATCCGCCGACAGAGCCAGATCCTCTGGACCGATGAAAAAAAGCGAAACGACGAGATGTCGTGCCGGACATCCGAGCCTCGTCCCCGGAGGTCGAGCAAAGACACGGAGGCCTGTAGGCAAGCACCAAGCCAGCGCTCACTGCCGCGGTCGCCGCGGTCGCCATGCTCGCTCTTTCAGTGACGCATCTCTTCACCAAACCTGACCAGGCATGAAAGATTCTCTCAAAAACGGCTCTTGGTCAACTAGGCCAACTCGGTCAAGAATCGTTGTGGCAGCGCAAGCCACCGCCAGGAAGGAAGGCCCGCCACGAGACGACGCATAGTCCACATGGCTGTGGCTGGGCTGCTCAATGTCTAGAGTCAGATAGTACGCAGAAACATTCTGCAAACTGCTTAACATGCGGAAACTCCAAAACCCCTACTGATTGACGTTGCACCGTTGCTGCCCACCTACACTGGCTGAAAATCTGCAAGATGACTTTTCAAACTCTGCTACATTTTCTGCTGTGGTGCCGTGCAGGACGGCTGCAGGCTTCCATGCTTGGGTGCCACAGCCACTTCCAGCAAAGCGCGACAGGCTGCGCGGCAGTGCATCTTCTTGAAGAATTTGTTTTTCGGTCGCCTCACTGTTTAAGTGCTGCCGTTCCCTGACAACCGCATCTATGGCGGTCGTCGTGGTGCGCGCGGAATGCGGGCTTTGGTGGTTGTGCGCAGCTTCTTGTTGAAATCGAAAAACCTTGGTCGCTTCCTCGTGCAATTATTTTTGCGAGAATTCTTGCAAGTGGAGGGTTGTGCACAGGTCGCATCACCGAAACACGTCTCGATCGGCGTCTCCGTGGACACGGTGATTAAGATAGATGCGGAAGTCAGACTTTGCAGGGGTCAGGGATCTGCACGGAGCAAACAAGCTTGCACTAAGCTAAACCATGACAAAGGCGTTGCACGTTGTGATGCAGGGGTCGGTGGTGGAGAGGAAGTGCTGGTCTGGGGCGCGACATTCCGGAGAGAGGGCGACCTGAAACACAACCTGGCGAAATGTGCAGTCTCCTCCACGGCCGAAAAGCCTTTTTTGCTGCGAGGTGCAGGGCCTGGAACGCACTCATCTAGTAGTCCAATCTTCCTTCCTCCAAACACTCTGAGCCCATTGTACTTCTCTGGCTCAAAACTCGTTCTTTCAAGGCTTCCGCAGTTCGATTCACAAAGTCTGGATCCGTCAAATTCTTGTGCAGGTCCATCAGCTCCTGCTCCGACTTTACCAGATGGACTTCGTATCAGCAACAAAAACGAAAACATGCATACGTGAATCATACGTGCCTGCCTGCATTCGTAAAAACATTCTGACATACATAAAGTGGGTGGGCCCTCTACGCATGCACACAAACACAGACTTGAACCGGACCAGGTTGCGTTTAAACGATTATTCCAGGGCGCTTGCTACTTGCTACACGCGAGATGCACCACGACACGTGTTACGCTTGACACTGTTGCGGGTTGTCAGTTATCAGTGGGTCTGGCGGGAAAACTCCAGGGAGGCTGTTATGCAGCACAGACATGGGTTTTGGACACAGCTGGGACGGCTTCGATTCTGCATGGCCTACCCGTTCGCAACTTGCTGATTATGGGTTATACCACATCTTAAACACGCCCGCTCATTTGTATGCTGCTAGTGCAGTGGTGATCCTATACAAAGCACTGCACGTAAGCAGAGTCATTCCGTTACGTTCGCTGAACCCCGGCTCCTGTCTGTAAGTCTCCAGCTCTTCGACTCCCGGGACTTGAGCAGTGTAGAAGTCGCCCACGTCTACAAAAGGGCCCACGAAGCCGCCCAACTGGAAAGCTTGCAAGCAAGCTTCTAGATGTGACTCACCTATGTCTGCTGCGAAAGTCTTCGAATTGAGACTCTTCAGCTCTTTTTGCAAGCTTGACAGGACCGCGGCATAGGCTTCATTGGAGGAGAGATCCCGGCGCTCGCTCGGGTCGACTTCGACGTCGAAGAGGCAGCCATTGCCGCAGTCCTCTAACATGTTTCTGTCCGGTGGGTCAATGGGAATCATGTGTGTGTAAACATCCACAAAAGCGCCATCTGGGCCGTCACTGCTGCAATTTGGGAAGACTGGGCCAGGCCAGAAGCTGTCTCCTTGCTGCCCAGTAACCAGCTTGTAAGGCCACTTCAATACTGCATTTGCGCTCAAATGTAAGACATCCAACCGGCCATTGATTCCTGAGAAGATGTTCTGCAGCTGCGGCCGGCCCTCTACCTCGCCTAGCAGTGGTCTACCCTGGAGACGAAGGAGCTCATTGGCTTTGGCCGAAACATCATCGACGTGGCTCACACCAGCCAAACTGCATAGAGTTGCATACCAGTCGGCGATGTGAATCACCCCGTGGAAACTGCTGCCGCGATGTCTGGCTGGGATGAAACCTCCAGAGATGAAAGCATTGGTGCGCACTCCGCCTTCCCACTCTGAGAACTTCCCCGATTTCAAGGGATAGTTGTTCCCACCTGCTGTCAACTGCAGGCTAGCACCGTTGTCAGAAATGAAAATGACCAGTGTATCTTCAAACATGCTCCTCGCTTTCAAAGTATCAATCAGCCTTCCCATCGCGGAGTCCATGAAGGCCAAGCTTGCGGCCATGACTCTGCGGGCCTTCGTCCAAGGAAGCTTTCTTTCCTTCTGCGCATCGGCCTGCTCTTCCCGCTTCAAGGCTGAAGTCGTGATTTCCAGTGGCAGGTGCACCTCGTGCGATGCATAGGTAAGGAACAGTGGCTTCGAAGAGTCGTGATTCTGGATGAGTCTCGCAGCATATTCAAGAAGCATGGACTCTTCGTAACAACTCTCAGGCAAGCAATCGTTGGGATCCTCTTCGTGGCAACCATCTTTGTCGAAGGACTTGCCTTTCACGCGTTCTTCGCAGCCAAGTTCTGCAGCAATCGTGTCAGCAACACCACCACGGTATGTGGCATTGTAAAAAGAAAAATCCTGGAACTTGTACAGGCATGGATCTGCAATGAATTCCTCCAAATCACTTTGCTTGGTCCAATAATCATTTTCATTGCCTACGAACCCCAGGAACGAGTCAAAGCCTCGCCCAAAGGGAGTCTGCTCTGGAGTGGCATGGCCCGCAGCCCACTTCCCAACATAATGAGTGGCATAGCCTGCTTGCTTTAACTTGCTGCCGATGCCTGTCATGTTTCGTGGAATGCCATAGAAGCCAGAGACATTGTCTTCTGGATTCCAATATGTTGCAGGATTCGACATCCCTCTAGGGGCAACTGGGAAATCTCGGGGCAACCGGCCACTGATCAGGGAACACCTAGACGGCACGGAGTTTGAAGCGGCATAGTGCCTCTCTAGAAGCACCCCGTCTCGGATGAGGTTATCCAAAACTGGGGTCTGCGTCTCGGCTTTGCCCTGGGCCTCTGCAGAATTTTCGGCGGTTCGATGGGCTCCGAGACCCGCCCAGCCCACATCGTCGGCGACAAAGAGCAGCACGTGAGGCTTAAATTTCTGCAGCGTCAGCTTGCGCTGCAGCAGCTCCACGTTATTCTCGTACTCCTGCGAAAGAGACCGATCCAACAAGAACACACGCAGTGTTAGAAGACGCGACGCTGTCGTGAGATTGGCTGGAAAACATCCGGCCTGTGACGCCTGACCTCAGCACAATGTCTTGAACTACAGGCTGCTGCCTTCTTTGTGTGATGTTTGCTGGCACCTCGTCATGTGATTGCCTAGCTTATGGGGCACCGACAGATTCCAGCAGAGAGAGAAAGTCCAGCAACCACCTTACATCAAGTCAGCACTGCTATGTGACGAGGCCCACGCACAGGCTATACGGGAGTGCCCCCAGTACCGAGCCACGAAAGCAGTGAGCGGCATCATCGCCGCTTGCCGCATCTAGGGTCTCCGTGGAATTTCGGAGCCCCGCGGCTGCAGACGGCTGCTACATGTAAAACAAGTACTGATTGCTGACAACTAGAACTACTGCTGTTGCAGCTTAATCCACGTCACACATCCCTTCATGGTCATGACTGCATTTTTGGCACCATTGATAGCGAAGCTACCGCTCCTGCGACACGAAGCTGCAGAGTTTGCTCAGTGTGCTAGTCAAAACAGCCGAGCTCATCAGATAGCGAACCCATCTTCTCGTACATCTCCCGGGCCGTTTCGTTTAGGAATTCTTCATCCCTGAGCCGAGCCTGGAGCTGCATCAGCTCCTGGAGCTTTCTCACATGCTTTTGAAGCTCGGATTTCGGAGGGTCGGAAGGGGGTGGATCTATTGCGAGAAAAATGCCACAAGACTTACTGCGGATTGCGAGACGGATTGCGGTGATTTCAGGGACCCTCGCGGTACTCTGATGCATTGTTCGGGTCGATGTTCTTCCAGGTGTTCCATGTTTGATACATATATAATCATATATACATGCCAACAGAAGTGCAAAGTGCCAACAAAATCTGTCTCCTGTCTGTACATCTCCGTCTCTTCTTCTCCCGCGACTTGATGAGTTGTGTAGAAGTCCCCCACATCTACAAAAGGGCCTACGAAGCCTCCTTGCCGGAATGACTGCAGACAGGCTTGCACTCGTGAATGACCAATGTCTGCCTTGAAGGCCTTGGAATTCATCAGTTTCAGCTCTGCTTGCAAGCTTGACAGCACAGCATTGTGGTCTGTATGTGAAGACAGGTCCCAGCGTTCGCTCGGGTCGATTTCGACGTTGAAGAGGCAGCCGTTGCCGCAGTCCTCAACCATGTCCTTCTCCAAGCGAGCAGATTCATTCTCAAAAGAGAAAAAGTGCGTGTAGACATCCAGAGGGGCGTCATCTGGGCCGTCACTGCTGCAATTTGGGAAGACTGGGCCAGGCCAGAAGCTGTACTTCTGCTGCCCGGTGACCAGTTTGTAAGGCCACTTCAGCAAGGAGCTCGAGCTCAAGTGGAGTGCGTCGGGGCGGCCATTGATTCCTGAGAAGATGTTCTGCAGCTGCGGCCGGCCCTCTACCTCGCCTAGCAGTGGTCTACCCTGGAGACGAAGGAGCTCATTGGCTTTGGCCGAAACATCATCGACGTGGCTCACACCAGCCAAACTGCATAGAGTTGCATACCAGTCGGCGATGTGAATCACCCCGTGGAAACTGCTGCCGCGATGTCTGGCTGGGATGAAACCTCCAGAGATGAAAGCATTGGTGCGCACTCCGCCTTCCCACTCTGAGAACTTCCCCGATTTCAAGGGATAGTTGTTTGCACCCGACCTGACTTGGACGCTTCCACCGTTGTCAGATATGAAAACGACCAGCGTGTCTTCAAACATGCCGTGCTCTTTTAAAGCCTCAACAAGCCTTCCCATGATCGAGTCCATGGAGGCCAGGCTGACAGCCGTACCCTTGCGGGGCGAGGTCCACGGAAGTTTCTCTTTAATACCAGACTCTTTCACGGACTTCTGAATGTCGGCTTCCAACTTTGAGGCTGAAGCAGTGAATTCGTAAGGGACGTGCACAAGGTGCGATGAGTAAGTGAGGAACAGTGGCTTTGAAGAGTCGTGGTTCTTGATAAGTCTCATAGCATACTCAAGAAGCATGGACTCTTCGTGGCAGCCATCCGGCAAGCAATCGTCGGGATCCTCTTCGTTGCAACCATGTTTGTTGAAGGACTTGCCTTTCAGGCGTTCTTCGCAGCCGAGTTCTGCCGCAATCGTATCATCCACGCCGCCACGGTACGTGGCATTGTACAGAGAAAAATCTTGAAACTTCTCCACACATATGCTGCGAATAAACTCCTCAGCATCGCCTTGCTTCGACCAGTAATCATTCTCAGCACCCAAGTATCCAAGAAACGAGTCAAAGCCTCGGCCAAAGGGAGTCTGTTCCGGAGTGGCATGGCCGGCAGCCCACTTCCCCACGTAATGGGTGGCGTAACCCGCTTGCTTTAACTTGCTGCCGATGCCTGTCATGTTTCGTGGAACTCCGAAGAATCCGGAGATGTTATCTTCTGGATTCCAGAAGGTCGTAGGGTTCGAAACGCCAGCCATTGGTGCAGCAAATTCACGTGGCAGCCGACCACTAATCAAGGATTGCCGGGACGGAATGGACGATGAGCCCGTGTAATGCCTCTCTAGAAGCACCCCGTCTCGGATGAGGTTATCTAAAATTGGGGTCTGCGTCTCGGCTTTGCCCTGGGCCTCTGCAGAATTTTCGGCGGTTCGATGGGATCCGAGACCCGCCCAGCCCATACAATCGGCGACAAATAGCAGCACGTGAGGCTTAAAATTCTGCAGCGTCAGCTTGCGCTGCAGCAGCTCCACGTTATTCTCGTACTCCTGCGAAAGAGACCGATCCAACAAGAACACACGCAGTGTTAGAAGACACGACGCTGTCGTGAGATTGGCTGGAAAACATCCGGCCTGTGACGCCTGACCTCAGCACAATGTCTTGAACTACAGGCTGCTGCATTCTTCGTGTGATGTTTGCTGGCACCTCGTCATGTGATTGCCTAGCTTATGGGGCACCGACAGATTCCAGCAGAGAGAGAAAGTCCAGCAACCACCTTACATCAAGTCAGCACTGCTATGTGACGAGGCCCACGCACAGGCTATACGGGAGTGCCCCCAGTACCGAGCCACGAAAGCAGTGAGCGGCATCATCGCCGCTTGCCGCATCTAGGGTCTCCATGGAGTTTCGGAGCCCCGCAGCTGCAGACGGCCACAAGTTCGAGTTCCGTCATTTGGACAAATCGACTGCTCCAGCCAACCACACCGATCACGTGCTCCCTTTGTCAAAGCAGTGCAGGCGCACGAACCGAAACGTCTTGTTCAGATCCTTTTCATGCAGCCAGCATTGCATGGCCAAAACAAGCGCTGAACGAAGTTGCAGGGCTCTTGGACTCTCGCAGAGACGCAAGGCAATGCGAGACGGCATACATTGCGTCGTGCAGCGGCCGTGTCACGAAAGGACAGGATCGCAGACGAAGGCTGCAAACTGTGGGCCACCTTCAAGCATGAGGAGGATCTTGCAGTGATGCTTGTCGCTCTCGCTTGATCTTTGTGGAGAGGTAGCAGCTCTGCTGCGATCGCTGTGCCGGCTGCAGAAGCTTTCACGCAAAGATCAGCTGAGAAGCATCTGTACCTCAGCGTTGGCGACATGCAAAGTGGAACAAGCGATGACTTCAAAAATGCGTGGCCAGCTAGCATCACCATGTATTCACGTGAGCAAATTGGATGCCAAAGCGAAACATGTATGTCTGAGCTGCAAAGGGATCTTCCTGTGCCTTTGCAATTTTGTCATCCTCCTGCGCTCGGGCCTTCGTTGTAGCCGCAGCTTTTGCAGCTTCTGAACTTCCATCCAATATGTCCTCGAAGAGCGCATGAATCTTGCCGGCCTTTCTTTGCTGTTGAGTCCATTGCTCTGTTCGCTGTTTCACTTGGTGGAGACCGCAAACTTTCCAAACTGCAAAGTTCTCCTTCCTGAGCCTATCCTCCACTGTCAAGAGTTCTTCGGCAAACGCAGTTCTCAGAGGCGTGTCCCCCAAGCTGGCTCTCCACAAGGCTGCACAAACCCAGCCACCCACGGGGTGTGGACCCAAAGTTTTTAAGCTTCCCTTGAAGGCCTTGGCCAGTTTCAGGCGGCCAGTGCCAAGCGCAGACGACGGAGCCAGCGCTGTCTCTAGGACGCGTGCGATGCGCGGCTCCAGAGCAAGAGCCGCAAGGCTGCCGTTGAGCATCTTGCTCAGTCCTGATGTAATGGGGGCAACGGTTTCTGGAGGAAAGCGCAGCAGAACGGCCAGTATCAAGGGTCCTCCTGCCGGCAGCCTCTGCACTTTCTGTGTTTCCGCGCCCTCTTTGTACAAGCTGTCCACAGTATCCACGGCACCCAGAGATAGCAAGCGTGGCCAGGCTTGATGGTACTGTGCCGAGGCCTGCAATCCTAGTGCACGAAAGACGCAACTGGTAGCTTGTTTCAGACCTGCTCGTAGCCGCAGTGCTGCCTCCAAGAACTTCAAGACAACAACATGCTGCGATGGGCCTGACTGCGGCCCCAAGCAGCTTTCAAAATCCAGTTCTGATAAAGCCAGCTGCAGTTGCGGTGCCGCACGCAAGCCATCTGCAAGTTTTTGAACCAGAAAAGGTCCGAAAGACGACTGGACGCCCATGGCGAGGTCGGAGATCCGGGAGCGAAAATATCGTGTGAAGAGCTCACCATAGAGCTGGGCACCTGCAGCTTCGAGTACAGCCTCCAACACCCGCGAACCTGCCGCAGATCCCACCAGCTCTTCACATTTGGACACCGACACATTCGCAGCCTCTGCGACGACGGCAGCGCACGCTTCTGTCAGCAGGGAGTGGTCTCCACAGTCCCGCAAAATGCGCAAGAGGAGCTGCAGGACGGGACTGGCATGGGCATTCAAGGCTGAGACATCTCCGTGTCGGAGGAGTTTGATGAGGCTTGCGCCCACTCGGCGGCGGCAATCTGCGATGGCCTCAGGCACCTCCTTCCGTGTGGCCGGCAGCAGCCCAGCTCGTGCAGCCTCCTGCCCTCTCCCGGTCTTCCCCTCCTTGGAGTTCACGAAACCACCCGTTGCCAAAAGCAGTGCACGAACCACATGAGCACTACAGGGATCTGTAACCAGTCCAGCCCACTGTCTCTCCTCCTCCAGCTTCATGCACATGGCGACCATGGGATCCACAGGAGGAGCTGTCGGGCTTCCCAAGCGCTCTGCCCAAGCAACAAAAGCGGACTCCAGTACGTGAGATCCATACTGATTCGATGCCAACTCCGTCAGACCTGCTAGCAGATCAGTCATCAAAGCGTCGAAAGCCTCTTGGCCTGCTCGGTGAATAAGTCGTTCAAGTGACTTGGATCCTTTCTGATCTGCAGCGACAAGCAAGGCCCGGTCCTTCATCTCTTCAACAGCCCGTGTTGCCAGCAAAGTTCGTTCTGGCTCGTCCAAAGTCTCCAGTGCCTTTGAGCACGAGCGCAGATAATCCAGCAGTTCTGCTAGGGGTCGACGACGCTCTCGTCCGTCTGCTGGCCGTCGAGAGGCTGGAGCCTCCTTCCACCGCCCTGCCGAGTGCCACTTTGACTGTGTTCTGATGCGTGCTGTGACCTACAGAGTTGACCCGCGGTACGAGCATTCCGACCCGAACTGATCTGTGTCTTCTCACTATGCTAATGCGCTAGTGCGGCCTCACGCAATGGTGGAATGGCCAGAGTGCTCAGACTCTCAGCCTCTTGGGAAGGAAGCAGCCTCTCGGATTCTTATGCTGTCCTTGCAGAGGTAGAAGCATGGAATCAGGAATTCTAGGCGCCTGATTGTCTGAAAGTCCGAACGCCCGGCGGTCGAGACAGCAGTCTATGTGGGGTGCCAAATGCTTCTGCAAAGCAATGTTTAATGCAACATTGGAATCTTCTGTGCCGGGGCTTCCAGCTGTCCAGTGGAACTCAGACCCAAAGGGGAAGCGATTGAAAAAGATACAGAAAGCCTTGCGCGCAGGACATGTCATGGGTAAGGAGGAAAAAGGAACGGCAGCCCAAGAAGTCAAAACACCATCGGAGACTCATTCTGTGCTTCGGCTTCGACAGCATCTTTGCACCATGTTTTAACGACTCCCCTTCCCAGCCTGGCTACAGGACGGGGTGGCACTCTAGGTTATGGGAGGGGCTAGGGACAGCGCAATCCATGGAAATGTGGATGCCAAACCGGCGGCAAAGTAGCGAATGTCACAACAGGATATGCCCACACGACAGGGGTGAAATTTGGATAGCCTGGCAATCATGGGATTGACGGACCTGGCAATCATGAGAGTGACAAAATCATGAGAGTGACGAAATGTTATGATTGGCTGTCATCCTACACACCACCCATTTAGTTGCTTGAAGGCACGTTACGTTGGTTGCGATGTGTTCTGTGGATTTCGTTTGCTTGCGTAAAGGTTTTCCCAATCTGTTTGTTGTGTTTTCATAGGAAAAGTCTGTTTCACTTTATGCTTTACGACAGGGAAGGCACCTTGACACCTAGATGCCAAGCTCTGCCAAAAGCCTCTTTCATTCTGTGCTTTACGATAGGGAAGGCACCTTGACACCTAGATGCCAAGCTCTGCCAAAAGTCTGTTTCACTCTGTGTTTACGATAGGGAAGGGACCTTGACAGCTAGATTCAGATGCCAAGCTATGCCAAAAGTCTGTTTCTTCTGCAGAAGCGACTTTTTGGGATTGCGCCTCGCTGCTTCTCTCCCCGGTGGCCTGAGCGCGAGGGCATCCAGCAGGAGTTTATTTCGTCGTCATGGACACGGGTCTGAATCCTCACTCACCAGCTTCTGGGATGCGTGACGACATCACACGAGTGACCCTGCCTTTCCGCCTTTCCGATTCCGGGAGCAGCCAGAACTGAAGAAACCAGCGCCCAAATCTGACATGCCGCAAAATGGACTATCCGGCCCCCACGTACCCACTCGCCTCGCCCGCGGCGCGAAGCGGCCTGTCTGGCAACCTTGGCTCCTGGCTTTCGGCGTAGTGTTGGACTTCAAGCTTCACCGGGTGCAAAACCAGAACAGTACTCGTAGCACGTTGCACATCGTATATCCTCGTATTCGGCAGTCACGGGTTGGACATGAAGTAGAGCTACGACATCATGTTACAAGCACATGGCAGACTCATGCAGACTCGCACACTTGCGTTATCCGTTCCGAGATCACACCTTCTTAGCCCTTCTCAGACAACCGAATGCAAGGGATCGCCTCCTCCGGCACGCCGTGAGCTACGGCCTGACAATTGCAAGGGCTGTATCCAGAAGCCCTCCATCTTCCCTCTCGAGATGCGGCATGACAAGGCCAAGGCGATGCTGACATCTAGGCTGTCTCAAAAGGAAAAAGCCACACCGCTGCTGTGATCTGCACGGCCTCCGGATCCGTGCGGAGTCTGCGCACGACGACGCTTCATTGTGCCAAAGTAGTCGTTATGCCGGACAGCTGCGCTGATACCACGATGGGATGCCTAGTTGTTCCTTGTTGGGATAACATGCTCATGTCTTGCCGCACACGTGGCACCTGCAGCCATGTTTGTAAGCTCGGGCACGAAACATCACGAAAATACCAACAGCATAGTCTCAGCAACAGTAGACGGACTGAAGTGTTTGTGCCAGGATAAGGTTTTTTGGCAGCATTCAAGGCTCTGGCAAATTGAAAGGAACACACGCCCCGAGAGCATTGAACCCAGTCGGAGCAGCATGGGTCAACACCTGCTGAAGTGACTGAATTGTGAAAAGAGAGAAAGGCATCGAAAGCAACGAGTACAAGACCTTGCACCAGAAGATATTCTCCTGGAGATGCCGAAGAGGTGTGACCTCTCTATCCTGTAGCTCCATGGTGCTCAGCGTGAGCAGAAACAGCACAAACAATGAGAGCGCAAAGCAGCTCACATCGTATCTCAGAAGCATTGTAAGTCGACCGCCGCGACCGCCCTTGCCATCTTTCGACTCTGCGGCTCGGGGTTCAAAGCCCGTTGCAGGTCGACTTCTTCCTAATGCTGCTACTCGCTTCTCCTCGCGATGCTCGCGGGAATACGGAAGTGCCAGAAATGCAATCCAAACTAGAACAATGCTACCCAAATAGTCGGCCATTGCCCCAGCCAGCGACGAGACCCTGCCCGGGCCATGTTCAGAGATGCATTGTCCAAGGTCGGCGTCGTGCCAGGTAAAACATTTGAAATAGATCACTGCCCCCTGCGACATGGAGACCAGGCCACCAGTGATGAACTGTGTGCCTTTGGACAACAAAATGAAGTTGATTAATTGAAACTCATCAGGTGGCGCAGGGAACAGAATGAAGGTCAAGATCAAAGACAGCACACTGACCCGGAAACCAGCATTGGGGATAAGCATGATCAGTGTCAGGGCGACGTACAACGGGTCCGTCAGCTTGCCAAAGAGGGATCGATCGTATGGTAGATAGTGTCTCAACACCGTTCGCCGCAGCCAGCAGTAACAAGACCAAGACGAGCTGGGACCGGACTGCTCCTGGCTTGGAACCCCCTTGTTCCCGACCGTCCCGACCCAACTCAAATTTGCTGCTCTTTCCAGGCCCCGTTGCTTCTACCTCTCACATGTGCGGCTACTTGCTCTGGCTTGCATCCCCTCTCTCTGTCGTCGTGGGACGTTGTAAGATGTTTCTGTATTCTGCCTGGCCCAGCTAGGCACGTTCTTTTGATCCGTGGACTCCTCTTAGCAAAGAAAGGTTGTCGACAGACGATTCGGAATGGCAGCAAAGGATGGGCAAAGGGTAGTGGTGCAAGAGACCGGACGACTGCGGCTTGCCCCAGTTTGTGATTTATGTATGCTTATCTTGTTCATTTCCGCTTTAGGCCTGGGGATGATTGCGGGAGTTGAGAGCTGATTTTCCAAGCTCCTGACAGTGGTAGGGGAGGATGGCATCCAAACTTCAGATTTCCTGCAGCATGCACGGGGAAGGAGCATCCTAGAACTCTCGCCTGGTTGTAGCTGTGGGATTTTAGGGATCTTCACTTTCCAAACCGTGAAACGGCATGCCCATCTCCTGGCATTCAGCTGACTTCAACAATGCCAACTCCACATTGAGCTCGATTTCCTTCTCCACATCCTCCCAAATGATGTCTATCACAGACTCGTAGCAGCCCTTGACACAGTCCCACATATCTGGATCTGCAGTGGCTCGTTCCTTCATGAGCCTGCGCAGTTTCTGCATAAATTCAGCTCGAAGTGGTGCCGAGGTCTCCAGAAGCTTCAGTTTCGCATGCTCTCTCAGCAGCGACGTTTCTTTCGTGTGCTTTCCCAAATGCTTCTCAAAGGAGTTAAGACGCCCAGCAACTCGCTTGTCAAACTTGTTGGTCAGCCTTGCAGAGCTTGACGTTGTGTGAGCCTGAAGCAATGTTCGAGTTGCCAGTGCCAGATGACGACTCTTCTTCACAAGTCTGTGCTTCATATCAGCCCAGAACAAGTTCTGGACCGCCTTGCCAACGATGCGCTTTTGGGGAGGAGAGTCGGTGTCGCTCGACTCCGCATCGGATTCCACCACACCCTCTTCCGACATGCTGTTGACTCAATTATCGCACTGGGAACGGAATGGGAACTGCAGGGTTTCACTTCGGAATTATCGCTCCTAACGGACGCTTTTCGAAATTGCTTCTAAGGTGCAATTGAACACATGTCCCAAAGGTTGCCAGCACTGCGTGATAGAGGTCTCTTTTCTAGAAGTATTCTGGACATGGAATGGCATGATGGCCAGTCTTGCGTAACACAACAGAAGCCGATGCCCGCACAAAGTCGCCGAGTGCCCTTGCAATGCTCTTTTTATGACTTGCGAAGTCGGCTTAGGATCACAGGGCTTCGTTTTTCTAAGTGGAAACTGCTGTAGCAATGCTGACAGTAACTAGTAACTGAACCGCGGCTAAAGAACATGGCGTCGTGGGAATGGGAATGCTTGCGGGCTGCACGCTATTCTACGAATCTCAAATGCTGGAACATCCGCGGCCCAGCAGCTCACACATCTTCTGCTGCTTCTCCTCAGGCACTCCAAGCTGCATTCAGATTTTTTTGGCACTTCTGAAAGTGCTTGTGCAACCGAAGCCAGCCCGGCCAGGCTTTCGAACTGTTCCCCGAATGCCGTCTTGCCAGCCGTCCTTGTCAGGAGCCTACTTTCACCTTGCGCTGTTGCTAGTTTCCGTGCTTGTACCGCAGCCCCCTCCCCCCCACCTCCGCCCGCCCCACCCAGTTCTTCTACTTGGCCAAGGCGGGAAGTAGCCCTGCATCCCGAGAGCGACGATGATTCCAGTCCTCCTGAGTCATCTTGTCGAACTCGTCGTTCTTTGCCTTTTGCTTCTCAATTTCCTTTGCAAGCTTGGACATCTGCTTATACTTTGGATCATCTGGATCTACCAGGGTGGACTCTCCGATGTCAACAGGTTGCCAATCTTCGCTGATGGACTCTTCCGTCTCGATCTCGCCCGGCATAGACTGCTGTGTGGGCAAGTTTTGATCGCCGCCAGAACTTGATGCACGCTTTGCCCACGCAACATCTGGGATGGTAAGCAGTGCCATACCTCCGAGGACATCGCGTCGCCCCGGTCGCCCAACGTCTGCCACCAAATTCTTCACCTGGGGGTCAAGGAAGCTCGGAGCGATCTTCCATCCGCAGAGAAGTGCCGACAGCAGCAGCACGCCCTTTCTGGAGCGCCTCTGCATCCGAAGCCACGCTGCCTTCAGAAGAAGCTCCCTCGTGTTTGGTCCGAGCCCAAGCTGCGGCAGGAAGCGGCTGTACGGAGCACCTAAAACTCTCACACGCATGGCACTCGAGAACCTGTTTTCCCACACAGCAGCGCATGGTTCTGTGGAGACAAGTTTCGAGAACATTCCAGTGCTCCTCCACCTTGATGCAATCTCCATGTCTGCATCCTTTCATTTAACCTCCCTTTGTGCTGGCCAGAGCCAGGCTGAGAGTTGGCGTAAAGAATCGGAATCGACACATCTGGCAAGGGCGGTGAGGCGGTGAGCTCAGCAGCAACGTCTGGGTCCGGTCCAGCACTTCGAGACTCCACGAAATTCGTTGCTGCATCACGTTGTTCAGGTTTTCAGCTGCAGGATGGCGCAGGCCTGAGCAAAAGCCGGCACTGCACGATCTGCTCTTCGGCTTCTAGGGATTCTAGGGAGTCCACGCGCTGAGACTGTCATGGGTCGTGCGCTCAGGCGACTCGAGCATGCAAAGCGCCACGAGGGCTTCTTGCCGGACTTCCATTTCTTTATCGTCGAGACGTTCTCGTAAGCCAGACATGGCCTTCTCACTGCGAGTGGCCATCGAAGCCAGTACTCGGATCGCGGATTGCCTTATTCCAGAGTTCAAACTCTCAAGATACGGCAGGGTCACATCGCAAACGCCATCCCTGTCGCTGTTTCTGCAAAGGAGTTCCACAGCCGCCACTCTCACGTGCGACTGCTCATGCGCAAGGCGTTTGGCCACCGTCTCCAAGAGAAACCGCTGTGTTGGTATGCCTCCAAGGACATCCACGGCCTGCTCCCGCACGTCAGCACAGTCGTCCTCAAAGGGTGACAGCATTTTCTCGGCGTATCGAGTAGAGTCACTCGATTATCGAGAGAAGGAAAACGGCTGCTTGAAGCAAGTGTTCGTCCCTCGCCTCCAAACTGCCACAGAGAGCGGCTATCGCTTCCAGGCTTCCTTGTTCTGCAGGACCACGCAAGGCCTGCATAGCCGAGATCCTCACAAAGGAGCCGGAAGCCTTCAGGACAGAGAAGAGAGTACAAAGGCTCCTTCAGAGATTCTGGAATCGTGGCATGGAAGCAGCGTTGTAGCATGGTGTCTCCAATCCCGTCCTGCAATTGTCTCTGCGTGCAGATAGCACGTTCAATGCGGCAGGAATATCGCTTGGAAGGCGTGGAAAGGTTGTCCGGTCACCTGGACGTTCGGGCACGCAGTGGCTTGGGAGCAAGACGAATATAGACTTTGCTATTTATCATCTATGACATGGTGGACGTCGCATCACCTGTCTAAAATCAACGGGCGAAACCTGTTCACCCTAATCCCATACTGCTCCATCTTATCGAACAGCATGCTCGAAACTACTGCCCCTTCCTGCGAAGCCTCGCCTGTCAAAGGTTCTGGATCTTCAACGGCCGTCTCCAAGATGACACGGACTGCTTTTGCAATGCCTGCACGCCAACTGCACTGTTTGCTGAACAGGTTTGTGTGAGTAGCAAGAAACTAGAGATTGCGAATGCCAACATGATGACTGGCTGGGTGCACTCGCCTGATGTGTGATGTAATTGGCTTGTTGCACTCCTCAAGAAGCCACTGAAAGTCGCTGAGCAAGCTTCTCAACAGCAGAATCGTGCAGCGCGGTGCCCTCGACTAATTAGTTTGTGTGCAAACGGTTTGTTGCATCCTTCAGGATACTGCTCTATGGGAGTGGGGAAGCATTCAATGATACTGTTCCCTAGGAGTCGGAGAACCGCGAAAGGCTTCGGATCTACATAGGGCCTAGCTTCGGCTTGACATGCCAGTGGCCAGAGGCATAGTGGATGAGTTCGCAGCTTTGCACTGTTAACTTCAAGTCATTCTGGTCCCCTGCTACCTGGTATATACCTCCTTGTCAGCACAAGCTACGCCGCAGGACCAGACCCAGCCTTCCGCAATCAAGTGTTGTCGAAGGTGCTGCAGGAGCTCTTGTGTACGCCCGGTGTGATCGTGCTCTTCAGGCTCTTCAGCTTCGCTTGGAGAGGAGTTCTCCACGCTTTCAAGATGGACATCCAAAGCATGCGAGATGTCCCGAGATGAAAGAGACAGCAGCTGCCTGGCTTTGGCGATCTGCTCGCTCGTGGGTAAATCTTGATCCCCGTCAGCCACACACATGGCCAATGCCATGCATGCCAGAGGATGTGCCTGTGCCCGCGCTCCGTGTCCCAGAATATCCACGCCGGCCTGTCGACAACTTGGCGACAGACTTTTCAGCGCCTGCACTGCTGCTATGATCGCATCTCGATCGCCCAGCTTGGCCAGCGCAGCGAGGATTTCAAATCCTGTTTCTCTTTTCGGATCCTCACCCTGCAGCCACAAGGCTGCACTGCACACCACTCGCATATGCCAGCGTCGGGCGACATCTCTAACGTGCACGGATGCGTCCTCTAGGCACCCTCGTAGTGCAATTGCCGCTTCTCTGCTGCCACGCAAAGCGCCTGGGATCCGAGTGCGGTCAGAACTAAGGAAATTGTGTGATGTTCATGCTACCTCCACGGTGCCCTGCAGGTAGCAAAATGCAACCGCATTGCCAGTGCCCAAGACCTCCACAGCACCTTTGCGGACAAAGAACCTGGCAGGTCTGTCACAGCACCAAGGTTCGCAGATGGACGAAGCAATGCACTAGAACAAGATGGAGCTTCGATTGGAACTACAAGGTCTTGGAAACCATGGCCATGCAGCCGACGATCTCGCAGATGGCCCACTGCAGCATCCAAAGCATCACGGGCACAGTGGCCAGCGCAACTACGCCCCAGAATTTGCACCGCCAAGCGCCTGCTCCAGTCCCAGAGCCGTCACACCACGCATAGCGCAATACGCGAAACGATGTCCTGCCTTACATGCTGTCTCGCATCATCCAGCCAAGCATTTGCGACCATGATAGGTGCCATGTTTCCGGCAACACCCAGCTGCGCCAGCACCTTTTGCAGCGGAAAACTTGGGGGTAATGCTAATGTCGCACGTTCCAAAGTGGCACTCTGAGGCGCCTCCGCCGCAGCCACCCTGGCAGAATCTGGACTGCGAAATGTAGTATCGTAAACATCAACCAGCAAAACCATTGTGAAATTGAAGAATATTGGATGCAAGACCCTGGAGTGGGGGACGACGGAGAGAAAGAGACAGAGAGAGAGAGAGAGAGAGAGAGGGAGACTGAGAGAGGAAAGAGAACGGCAAGCACGAGACAACGGCAAACACGCCAAGAACGACAGGAAGCGCAAACAGGCGTGACTGTGTGTGTGACTGGGTGTAGAACGCAAGCCAGGGCATTTTCCAAGATCAAGCCCTCCAGCATCAATGCCGACAGTCTTTCATAAAGGCACTCATGTACTTTCAGCTGTGTATATTCATAATGTCTATAGGCTCTAACCATATCATGACATATGTGTATCTTGGTATAGATTTATAGATATCGGCGTGTGTGTACATGTATGTATATATATATGTATATATATATATGGCCTATGTTAGTTGCCCCAGCTCTGGCAGGCTCCGAACATCAAATTGCCTCGCAACCTGCCCGCATGACCTGACGCAGACTGCCCCTAGTTTCGATCTCATCGAGGGGTGCTTGCCGACTCGCTTTTTTGATCTGAAGCACGAACTGTGCAACATCGTATGTTGCCCCAAGGATCGTTGGGTCGGGGCACGCATGCAGCTTCTTGGCATCATAGCGAGCACCCAGCCAAAAGTAACGCTTCTCGAAACCCCCAGAAGAGCGACTGGTGGCAAACCCTAAGCCCTGCAGGGAGTGCCTGGTGCCCAACCAACCTCAACCTCCAACCGCTAATCTGCGGACACAGCCATGCGTCGCCCAGACAAACCCGAACCCGAAAAGGCATGGCTGATCCGGAGACACCATAGGAGCTCTGACAACCGAAAGCCTTCATGACAGGACGGTGACCCCCAAACCCGAAATGGAGTGGTGCTTCGGCAAACCCTGCACGCAATGCAGATGATGGGTGTGACCCAACACCCTGGAAGGAGTGGCCTGCCAAACGTTAGTCCCGCCAAAAAGATCGGTGCAAAAGCCCGAATGGCAAATGCAGTGGAGATGTCGGCCTTAGATGGCTTTTGCATGGGAATCGTCTTGCATTTCCTGATGCTCACGACGATATCTCATCGTCAAGTTCTCGGATGTATACAATGCAGACGAACGCGTGCCTTGCGTATGTGGTGTCGCACATCTTAACCCCGGAGTGGAAAGTTGTAAACCCGAAACCCCACAGGACCTACAGCAAAACCGCCTCAACCCAATGGGAGTGGGGAATGTCAATCCCTAAGAGGAGATGCCAAGATGAGCATGTTCATGTTCTTGATCCCGGTGCGTCCCAGGAAGACTGGGCGCATCGGTGCCTCACGAACAGCCGCTCGTCTTGCAGGCAGCAGCTCAAGATGAAGCATGCCTCACTCAGTGTAGGCACTGCAAACCTCACAGCGCGCTCTTGCGACTGCAGTGCATTCGCAGCATCACATTGCCGAGCGTCCGGGAGCTGGGAATTCGTGGTAGTTAGGCAGTCGCTCAGAGCTGTGAAGGCACATTTCCGGATGTCGTAGTCGTCGTCTTGCAGCGCAAGGGTCAACGCAGCCAAGGCTTCCTGGCGACATGGCTCGGCACAAGCCGAAAGCCAAGCTGGGCTCATGGAGTCCAGTGGTCAAACGAGGTCTTTTACGAGGAGAGGCAGAGGGAGATGCAAGGGTTTTACGTCAGGCTCGAAGCGCCCCAAGCGCCCCGTTGCCTCTGCTCACCTGTCCAGCACTGCAGTGCAGTGACTGACATCAGGAAACGATACAAGCAAAACCCGGACCGAGGAACAAAGCAACGACAGAAACTGTGGCAATGGACTGCCGCCGCCGCAGCCCAGCTCGTAAGTCTCTCAACCCGCGTCATTCCGGATCTGGGGGAGCAAGCTACGCACCCCGCGCACACACGCACACAAACACACACACACACACACAAACAAACACACGAAGTGAAAGAGACCGTCAAGGCAGTCAGGGAAGTCACGGCATGACCGCGACTTGCTTCGCGAGGTTGTCTCCTACTTTGCAATCTGCTCATGTAGGCAATTCTGCTTAACCCAGGTCCTGGTCCGCAGCAACAGCATGTGGAGAAAGCTCTGAGATTGCAGACTGCTTCAAGAAGGCAGTGGTTCGTTGTTGGCCAGATCTGACTTTCAACCTTGCAGTTTGAACGATCGCGTGCACGCTGCTGAGTCACTTCCCTTTTATCGATCAAGCTTTTGCAGATGCATGTCACTGCACATCTGCTAGCTTGAATGTTCAAGGGGTGTGAAGGGAAAGGCAAGCGGTAGACGACTTTGGTGGTAGGCCGAAGTCTTGTGCCAAACAGGTGAGGCTGTGGCCGGGACACGAAAATGTGCTGCGTGCTCCCCCGGACCTCGTAATGTGATCCCGAGCATCCACGGCGAGCATTATCGCTCTGCGCACGCATGCAAGCGAAACCAAGCAAGTCTTGGACTAGCTGATTCTGTGTCTTTGTCACTGATGCTGACCATTGATGCATCCATGCAACTTGTCATCCCCAGACCATGGCCCACGGCCTCATCTGTCAGCTGCTTGTGCAGAAATCTGCAAGACCAGGCACTTCAATCCGCCAAGTCTCGCAAAATCTTCAGGGCTGCATCTCGCTGCATGAGCTTCGAAAGCTACGGCGGGACGGCAGGGCAGCGTTGCATTCCACAGCGACCCCCCAAGGTCGTGAAGGACACACGTCTGAATGCACTTCTCTTTTGAGGCAAATCATGCAACGTCGAGGAGGCAAAGCCGGCATTCCATGCAAACGTCAGACATTCCTCTCCAGTCTTTGACTCAGATAGACCCTCCCAAACCTTGCTATGCAGCCTGAACTTGCAGAGGATGTCAGCAGTGAAACTGCGCGCGGCACTGCCTTGAAGCACTTGCTTCTTGCACTAGGCTTTCGCTGGCACACGTATGCTCAGCTCATGCCGCTTCTTGCTGAACCTGGCGGCTGAACTTAAGTCAAAACGCTCGTTAGTTCACAGAGGAACCCCCCTTTTCTCCAGATGATGCACAAGAAAGCATCATCAGTCGTCTCGGTGCCCTCTCAGTCTAGTTCTGGTAGTGATACCATATCAATCATATCAACGAGCTCGCGCGGCGTGCGAGATGATGCTCTGTATGGTACGCGCAACGATGTCGACTTCGGCTTCATCGTTGAAATAAGATGGGCTGATCCTCACGGTGGAAGGCTGACTCCAATCCGCATCGTTGAAAGTGTGAGAAGATGGTGACACTGATACGGCAATTCGCTGCTCAGCAAGAGCATCTTTTATAAACTCAGAAGTAAGTCTGAGGTCCGGGAATGCCTGGAAGGTCACAATTCCACATCGCCTTATGTCCGGGCTTTCAGTATCCTCGTTGAAGCTCTCCGGAGCATCACAACAGCGAATGCCCTCGATGCATGCCAACTTCTGTCGCAGAGATCGTGCCAGGTGACTTGCCTTCTGCTCAACCTGCTGTGGTCCCATGCGGCTGCACAGCTTGAGTGCCTCTTTCAAGCCCACATGCAGTGCAGGTGCAGACTCCCACATCTCATATCGCTGGGCAGTAGATGCCAGCTCGTATGTGCGTCGCTGTGTCCAACGCACCGAGACGTGATCGATCATGGCAGGCTCACCCACGAGCTCGCGCTCAGACTTCACAATGGCCCCAATCAAGGACTGGGGCAGAGCACCTGCCCGAGCGTAGAGAAACCCCGTGCCACGCGGGCCTCTCAGCCACTTGCGGCCAGTGCCGCAAGCAAAATCACAGGACAATAAGCGCACATTCACGGGTATCTGTCCGATGGATTGGCAAGCATCAAGCAGGAAAACTGCACCATGCTTGCGAGCAAGTTCGCCAACGGCGGCTGCAGGTTGTACAATAGACGAGTTTGTTTGAATGTGTGTCAAAGCCACCACAGAGCGTGCAGATGCAGGCATAGATTTGAGTGCGACGTCAAGGGCAGCTACATCCACGATGCCATCAGGGCGCATGGGCAATATTTCAAGCTCCAGTTTGTGTTGTCTAGCAGCCTGCAGAAATGCGACTGCATTCCCTGCATACTCACTTTCCCAGCAGAATATCCGATCACCCTCTTGGAAATCCAAGCTGTAAAAAGCTTTCGCCCAAGCGGCCTGTGCGGACTCGGTTAAAGCTATTTCTGTTTCGTCACAGCCCAACAATTCTGCTGCCGCCCTTCGAGCAGCCTGCCTTGCATTCGCCGCGGCTTCTGCTGCATAGCCTCCGACTTGGCGCTCCAACTCGAGATGAGCCAGGATGGCATCATGGACCACGTCCGGCATGGGTGAAGCGCCAGCCGCGTTCATGTGAATCCAACCTCTGTCCCTTTTTGCGGAGGATCCGGAGAGGCCGCGGAGGCCGAAGCATCCGGCCAGGCAGCCGTGGCAGCCGCAGTTTCGGAAGACGGCGAGGCCGGAGCGCATTCCGCGAGGATCTAGAGATTCTCAATCCAACAAGGCTGCTGAGCTGATCCCTTCCGTCTAGGAGTCTAGGCTCGGATGTAATGTCTTGAAGCGTCGAGCTGAGGCTGCGGCTTGGCTTTGGCACCAGACGGCTCAATGAGAACCTCCGGCTGTCAGCTTTCTTGCCTGCTCTGGCCATTCTGGCCGGTATCAGCTGTGCCCTGCACCGGAAACGGCCCTGCATTGATGGCATACTTGGGCGCAGGGTCCTGGCGTAAGGAGGGCGCACTCTTGGCCCAATGCACTCTTGGCCCAAGGCCCAAGGCCCGAGCCAAGGTGTTCAACCGCAGGTGTTTCTCCGCAATGTCCAAGACCTTAAAAGTTGGTCTTTTGCGGCAGCACATCGCAGATCATCGCAGATCATCACAGCGCAGATGCCGTGTCCAAGCGGCGATGCAACCCATGTCGCTGACACCCGGCAGCTCGCATACAAGCTCCATCCCCTCAGAGCTACACGAAACCCAGAGATATGGGTGCACCGACTGAGGCAAGGGCCTGGTATCTGCCTTCAAGGTCTTTCTCATATTGCAGTCGATGAGTGGGAAGGATCACCTTGCCCGATCTTTGAAGCCCCCTTCGAGCCCAAGCCCTCCGAGCGGCCTGTGGAGCGTCTGGGACCGACTTCGACTTCGGCACGGCCGGCACGGAGCCCACCTGACATTCCGGGCGGTCGCAGCGTGCAATGAGCAGATTCGCAAGCCTGAGGCCTCGGGGGGCTACTCACTAGTAGACTAGTGGTTGCAGCATATGATGGTCTTTCCGCCGTCTACTCTGGGGTGTGTGTTCATCCACTAGCAACTCGTTCTCTTTACGGCAAACGCTAAATCGGACCGCAAGTTTCCAGATGATCTGACTTCGCGGAGTCCTGAGCCACACAGACGCTACCAGTAGGGGCTGTCCAGAATCTGCCGATCGTTCCATTGCTGCACCCCATGGATAGCATTCAAGGACCGACACATTCGACAAAACAGCACGAGCGGTACAAGAACTTCGAGCCTTCTTCTCACTGCCTGCGGTATCATCACCACAAATACCTGACAGGACTTGCCCACGTCAAAGTCAGCTACAGGGGAAGCCAAGCAGAACTGCGCAATCAAGCAAGCGCCACGAGTGTGGAGTTCCTCCGCACTTTTGATAGCTTGTTCTGCTCCGGCTAGCCTTGGAATCCAGTCTGTGATCAAGCACACAAGCGGCACCTCGAAGCTGGTTCAGAAAGCTGTTCAAAAGCAGTTCGTATAGCCTTGCCTGACCACAGGAAGGTTACGAAGAGACTTTTTTCTGGCTGAATGTCATGCACAGAGGCTGACAGCCGGGAGGCGTGATTTGAGGTTTGCACTTGCCGTGCAGACCTGGATGCCAATGATACCACCAGAGATGATGGCAGGTGAGGGGATTTCGATTTCGATGAGATTGGATTATCCAGTGCGGTGTGCATAGGTTGTGCATTACAGTTCTTGAGGATGTTATCAGTGATACACTGAAGCTACCAGTCTGCTTGCGCTGTCGATGTGTGCTACAAGTGCAAGCTGCAGAAGAGACATCCCAACAACATGTTGCATTTCATGCCATTCACCGTGCGCTGTTTCGGGCCCCCCCCCCGGACAAGCAGAGTTAATGGATGTTGCAGCTTGCAGTTGCCAGTTGCAAGCCGCCTTAAAGCACAGACATACTACAATCCTTTCACTCACTGGAACCCTGAATGGCAGTGGAGCGGATGGCTGATTCTTCAAATTTGTCCCAGACTCCGGCAGTCTACCGTGTATGCAGACATGGACATGCTCGTGCGCCCAACTCTTGTAGATTTGCCACATGCCGAGAATCTGGCGCGGCTGCATCTTCACCTGTCAAAATGCAGTTCTCTCGACGTAGAAGAACATGGCATGCTTCTGGCGCAACTGTCTCGAACCCATGTGAATGGTCGCAGAGTGTTTCGGCTTGTTGTGAAACGGCTCATACTTCTCGTGCGCCATCCAGTCTTCTATGCGGCTCTCACCGCCAAACTCCGGAAGGGACCAGATACACAACCTGCGCTGCAGCCACAGCTGAGACTCTTGCCATAAGTAAATGGGTGCCCCAGGGTGCAGCACATTGTCGCACAAAATGTCTGCGTTTGGGCTGAACAGCTCTGTTGATTCCAGGATGCGAAACTCGGAATGGAAGCGAGTCCCCCTGTGATCCATGAAGACCAGGCCCGCAGAGCCAGCGCCAAAGTCTGCCAGCATCCTCGGCAGCAGATCCTTAACCTGTCCAGTGCAAACCTCCGCAGCTTGAGCACGTTCGCCCAAATTCAGCATGTGCCGCGAGACGCAGACATGTAGCGGGTCCACCTCCAAGCTCTGCACACGCCATGAAGGCACTCCTGCCTCAGCCACGCTGGCCAGCCGAAGCGTTGAGAAGCCAACGAAGGCACCAAACTCAAGTCTAATCTGATGGCCTGGCCCTGTAGCCAGGGCCAAAATGCCATCGATCAGCGTGCCTTTTGCCTCCCCAGCCACCTTGAGCCAATAGTTCAACTTCTGCTTCGAAAACTCTACGATTGCATTCAGCACATCCTGGCTCGCAGTGCCACCAGCTACCCGCGCATGGACATACTCGACATACTGTACCAACATAGACAGCTTGTGTTGTGCGTGGCCTCCATGCCTTGCCACTTGCGCACCAAAAAAATCTGTGGCAACACGGTGCCTGTCTATGAAGGCATTCGCATTGAAGGGGTAGCCGGTAGTGCCTGACACGATCTCTTGCATGTCTCGCCTCAGAGGCGTAACGGAAGCGATCAGCTGCCATATCCGGCGTTCGTAAGCGGCATCGCGAAAAGCTTCGCAGGGAGAGAGCATAACTCCCACATCAAGCACATCTAAAGAAGTCGGGTGCTAAGCGATGCGGTTCTCGAATGCTTCACGCAAACTCGGCCACGTCAAACCATGAGCCAAGGACCAAAAGAGCGCATGCATATCTCCAAATCGCCGGCCGGTTGTCCTCGCACTTGTCATCAGCAGCACATTCGTCAGCAGGTTGCGCCACACGAAAATCTCACCGAACCACCGCACAGTGTTTGCAATGTGCTGGGGTACGAAGGTATGGTGCACAGCAATGGCGGCTTGCGCGATCGCATCGAAAAGGGGATGATCTTTGATGCTTAGAGTGGCATGACTTCAAACAGCGTTGGACGATTCCTGTGATCCAAACTGCTGGACTCTCTCCTGGGACATGCAAGATAGGGTATCCATCGCCAGTTCATCACGCACCAAGGGCTTTGCAGGCCACCAAACCATGATCGCAGGATTGAAGGGCTTGGACTCGGTGATGCGCGCCGCGCACTCTTGAGCTGTGCTATGCATTGGAACCTCCCCTGCAACTTCCAATGTTGCATGTGTTTGTGCCAAGTTCGTAAGTTCCTGTGGAATGAATTTTGGCATTTGGGAGACAGCTGCCAACACGTTTGCCTTTGCAAATGCCTCATGCAGAAGCTGCAGCGTACTGAGCTTTTAAATCGTGTTGGCTGAATTCTGTGCGTTGGAATCGCGCAGATTCGTCGACGAGGCATGACCTGTCGAGTGAAGCAAAGTCTCTCCCTTGGCAGTTGGAGTGGCCAAGCTTTGCACACTGTTAGACAGGTTTTGTGCATCAGGCTGCATGATTTTCAGCTTGCACTCTGCCATCATGGCACTCAGCAAGGGCACATCGGGGGTGCTCAAAGTAGCGTGCTTCCGCGCCAGGTTGGATGGAGCTTGCGGCTCAAACTGCGAAAGATCTGGACCGGCTGCATCTCTGAGTGCATTGAACAATGCCAGACGCAGAGCCCCCGACTTTGTGAAAGATCGAGCGATAGTGGAGGTGTCTTGAGATTGCAAGCAACGTACCTTGCATGTCGCTTCGATCGCCAGGGAAGCCAGCAGAGGTCAGTCCAGGAGCTTCGTCCTAGCAATAGCTTACAATGTGCTGGAGGTTGCCTGCGCATCAGACTGGGCCAGCTTTCTACTCACCACAGGGCTGATGTCCTGCAGAAGGCAGCGGCTGAACTGCTGCGGCTTGCTTGGCCTCCGCAAACTGTTGGCAAGCCCCTGGGGTGAAGATCTGCCTGCCAAGCTCTCAGCCTCCGATGCTAAGACTGTTACCGACGACTCATGCTGCCAGCGCAGTGTTGCCATCGTTCGACTCAAATTGGCGATGTGTTACGGTTACCATGTCAAGGCAGACGTCAAGGAACGGTGCACAAGAGCTTCAAGAAGCGAAGTTCCGAAGACCTTCAATATCCTCGAAGCTCGAAAGGCATTTGCCACATGCTGCGAACCAAGCTGTTCCACTTTGTCTCGCGACTCCCGCAGAGTCTATCTGATGGGCAGCATGCCGTAGTGGGCCGGGCGTGCAGAGGCTTGCAGAGCATTTGTGAGGTGCTGCGGGAAAAACTCATGTAGGCGTTGCGCGGATCCGGCTCCGATAGCACCAGACATAGCGGCGTGTCGCAATCTCAGCTTCCCAAATGTCTGCACCAGGTTGGAGAAATTCTGCGGCTCGAAAGAACCAATTCGAGTTGATGCGGATGCACCGATTACGTCTGACAGCGGCTGGTCTTTCGCCTACGTCTTGGTGAAGTCTCATGCAATCTTCGAAAGGTGCTGAACGCTGAGTCAGCATGCCTCATCCAGTCTCAGGACTCTCGTGTTCTGCACGGCATGAAGAACATGAGCCGCACTTGCATTCTATGGAAGCATAAAAGCCATGGCAAACAAATGGTCAAGCTTCGTTGACCGGATTGAAAATTGCACTGTGCTACGGAGAACAAGTTGGAGCAGCAGTATGTGAAAGGTGCTGGAGTATCAAGGTCATGCAATGTAACCACTTCCTTAATTGCACTATATAACCCTTCAAGTCTTTCATACTCGAGCCATCATGCTAACCTGGAAGTGCCGGCGTCTACAATCGTGCAGCTGTCGTCCCTTGCCAGGTGCCTGGAGCTGCAGCTTTGTTCAACATCTTTGCAACCAGATCCTGGCAAGCTTGCCGATACGACAGATCTCACTGCTATGCCATGCTATGCAAACCAGGGTGCCTCCATGTGCGTTGGGTCCGTCAGCATCCTGCTGGTTGCAAACAGCGAGGCGCTTTATCTCCGCACATCGTGTGATTAGTACAGTGCCACGAACAAGCTCCCAGAATTCGCGTGCGGGAAGCATAGCATTGGGCTTTACAACGGAGGCAAGGGTTCCACGTGGATGAACAACATAGGTCATAGGGCTGCATGCCTGCCAGCACACTTCACACTTGCAACAGTGGCCTTGAGAGCTTAGAGTCAAGACGAAGCAAACTCGATGTGCCGAGCCAATAGAGCGGAAAACATAGACAATGTCCGCAGACCGCAAGCACATCAAGATCGGCAGCCTCTGCAAATCTTCGTGGGACACACCTTCCTGTACAAATCAATGCCAGTGTCCCAATCAAGAAACAAAAGTGCAATCCAGCCTTCGTCATGAAATTCATGAAGTCATCCGCGCCTTCAGGCAGAATCATCCCCACCAACTCACAGGCGCTTGATGGTCACGCACATGCTAAGCGACCGGCTGGTAATCTTCTCCAAGCTCTCCTTCCAAGTCTTGCCCCCCAAATCGACGGCGCAAAACAACCGTGTGCAACCGGCACCAGTTTGACCTAGAGGTTCGGCAGATCCTCAGATTTTTCGGTTCTGTTGGGGCAATCCTTGCACTGAAGACTTACTACGTCTCGATGATACCCCGTGCTCTGTGCTCTGCAAGCCGTACTCATGCGTTTCAACGCCAGATTTGTTGGCACTCTTCACGAAGGCGGGCATGCGATTCCTGGCTTAGCTCCTCCAATTCCAAATTAATCATCGAAGCGACTCCTGGTTTTAAGGCTTGGTGGAGTCCAGGTCTAGTTCGAGTCCGTCATCCTAACGTCACCTTCCAAACATCTCCGCCACAAGGGAGCCAGACATCGCGAAGGTTTGACTCCAGTTGGTACATACTCAGACATCCCAGAGAAGCACGCCTGGCGAAAGTGCGACATCAAAACAGGGTTGGGAGGCCCTTCCCGCAACAGCACTCAAGAACACCGGTGCTCCCGACAATTGAAAAACGTTTGCGCCCAAAGCGGAAATCGAACAAGCATCAGTCCTGCTGCTGCTGCAAAGCATCGAGTTGTTTTCGCGTGGCCTGCGAGCACGAATGCATCAATTCAGTCGTGTCCTCGTTTCGCCAACTGGGTGAAGGGTATCATTCTCAGCGAAAGGCACGCCTCTCGTCCTGCCTCCATCTGAGCCTGCTGCAAACGATGTTTCAACTTGTCCAGAGATGCGAGCTTCACAGCATGACCACATGGTAGAGTATGGAGAAGTTGAGGAGTCGACTTGGACTCGACACGGATCATTATAACAAAGAGAGATTGCAAACCCACAGAGGCATGGAACCGAATCCCAGGATGCGAGGAGCAGTCAAGTCTGACGAGTCAAACCAGGCTTTACGTGCCCTTGCCATCTCAGTCACTCATTCCGACAGCGCGAGACCAAGTGAATACACCGCTTGAAATCGTTGAGCTTCGAGGCAACGCGCTGGAAACGCATGAAACGCCTCCTTCAGCACCTGGCAGATCTTCTCGGCAGGTTTAGCGGGTGCCCTGCGGTACCGCGCTTCTCAAAAGAAAGGCTTCGCGGAGACCTGCGCTGTCGCCTGAAAACTCGCTCCTGGATCTTCGAAATAGTGTGTGGCCTTGGCACACACAGCCTTAGCCTCAAGATGACCTCGCAGAAGTGATCCAGATGAGATGACGATTCGGTCAGCATAGAACAGACGTTGATCATGAGAAAAGCTTGCACCATGAAGATTGATGGCCTTCATGCCATCGATTCTCCTTGCCAGCGAGTCTGGCGAGTCGTCCTGGCACCGCGTCTGGACTGCGTGGCCTCTTCTCTATGCCTCAGCCGCTTGCGAAGCTCCTCGAATGGTGCAGACCTGGGTCGCAACAAAACAGGCCCAGTCGTGTCGGGGACCGCGTGGCCTTTTTGCGTGTCAGGCAGCGCGCCGTCGCACACACATGGCAGACTGTACATATGACCGCTTTGCGAGCCAATTCATCGTAAGATGGCTATTCGGCCCATACAGGAATTCGATCAAGGTCGATCTCACAATCCACGGCATGAGTCGAAGAGGCGGTCTTTCCTCAGAGCACATCTCCCGAATGGGTCGAAATCTTCGTGCTGTCTGTTCGTGCTGTGAGCAGCACCTCAATGCGGCAAGGCACGTCCGACACTGACGGCCTTCCCGATCATGAGATTCTCCTTGACTCCCTCAAAGCCGTAGCGGCCTCCAACTCGATAATCGCACACAACTCCCGCACAAGAAATGCCGGCTCTGATTCTACTTTTCCTGCCTGAACCCTGGAAGACCGCGTTCGCCACGACATTATCCACTTCGCGGAAGCCCATGGCCACCAAGACGTGACCACCATCTCTGCCAATCTCCGTGAGCCCCCGAACGGTGGGCTTCACCTTCACCTGCAGGGCAGCTGAGGCATCAAAAGCCGAACTCTCCTCAAGGCATCGGCTGCCCGAAAGAAACCAGGTAAAACGTGCAGCCAAAGAGCCTCAGCACTCGGTTGCAGCGCACATAGCCCTTCCAATTCAACGTATTTTATCAGTGTCCCAGGTGGAAGCCCGCTGATTCCCTCTTCAATCGTGCACTTCTCCTTGGACAGAAGCATCCTTTTCTGCTGGCTGCTGCAGCCTGCTTCCTCTACAAAGCACGCACCCGACGAATCCGGTGTGACATGCCCTTTGGCTTTACGGTGCCTGGTGCGGGCTTCGGGCGTGTCACCCGGCAGCTATTCGACGTTGAATGCGTGCAAACGTTTAGCATGCTGCACCGAAATACTGCTTTGGTACCTCGACCAGAACTAGGCGGTCAGGCAAGTGGTGGCTGAAAGCACATCAAAAGCCACTGCTTGATGATGCATCGAAAGAAAGCTTGTTGTGGGTTCATCCAACAATAATTGAACTTGCAGCTGTGCAGCTGTCATTCTTCGCACGACCACCTGCAGCAGGTCTAATCAAGCCCACAAGATTCATGCACGAGCACAGCCGCCAGGCACGTACCATGTGAAATCCAGACAAGGGAGTGGGGAAGATTGTATCGGATACGGCCGACGTAACTTGCAGGTGACGCGCTGCATCTCAATTTAGAGTGGTGGCTGCTAGGGCGGTTCTCGGCTTGGTTCCAAGCCGTGCCTCCTGCAACAAAACTGACGGAAGTCCGTTGCGGTTCTCTCGAAAGTGCACCGATGAACGATCTTTGAAAGAGACACGTGTCTTCGTTGGACTGAGCACTGTTCGTGAACCCCAGATCCCTGCAATTTCGAAAGACCGCAAATGCCAAGTAGTTTAGTTTGGAACCAATACGTGTACACAAACTCACACAAACACTTGGCACGGGTAACTGCGACTGCCGGCACACAAAACAAGACAGCGACAAGACAGAAAAAAAATCTGCATGAGGGAAAACAAATCTGATTTCTGGAAAAAGTGAAAAATAGATGCAACTGCCCAAGCTACAAGTCATCGTCACTGTGTCCAGCTTCTTTTCCGGTCGATTCACATAGCTTCGTTGGCATGGCTAGGGAAAAAACGGCCATGCGCTGATGTGCACCAACATCAGGCGTGTGCACGCACACAGGCCCTGGTAGGAACCAGGGCTACCTCAAAGCGGGACGTTGGAAGCAGCAAGCTCTTTGGCGCCAAATCGAATGCAAATACTGCGTGCATCTAGGAATATAGGGCAGATGGTTGGCCGATGTGATGGAGCTCATGGCAAGCGCACCTAATCTTCGCCATTCCAATCCAGGTGGGCGAGATCGCTTCCTTTTCTGTGATGGCTCGGCATGTTCAAACGCAGGCGAGCAAACGCTGCTCGCAGGCAATGCATGATCTTGAAGGATCTTTTGTTGTAACCACTGGCGGGAGGCAGTGAGCCACTTCCATCACCAACGCACTCCATGTGGCACATGGCAGTGCATGACTCAAACAAATATAGCACTATCAATTTGCACGGCGCTGCAGTCACTGCAGAGGGTGCTTTTTTCCAGGTAGAAAGCCATGGTGTGTTTGCTGCTGCATCAATGCTTCAACTCGTTGCAAATGATTTTTGTACACCAAACATGGAGGCACGATGACTGGGAAGATCTCCTGGATGTCGCGAATGGGCGATTTCAACGAAAATCTGCAACGAGCTCACGAGGATTTAGCGCTCGATGTCACAGAGAACACAGATCCTTGTGTACCCGAACGAGGCGAAGGATTTTGTAGCGCTTCAATAAGAGCAGCTGCTGCGGCCATGTTTAGGCCACGTTGCGCAGCACGATCCCGGGCACTTACGAACATGAAGCTTCGTCATGGTTTCGTGGCAAAAAGGAAGTTCGAACCAAAGCTAGCAGCAGGACAGCATGATGGCTCGATGCTGCTACAAGAACCTGCGTCGAAGCAAGGCACGTTTGTTTCGGCAGGTTTAGCAAAGCGTCTAGTAAATCAACAGTTTGCACAATGAGTCTTCGAACTGTGGCAAGTTCCCACCAATACCCCAGCTCACTCTTCTTCGGTGCGACTCAATGAAAGCATGTCCGTTGCGAAAGGCCGGCTGTAAGATGGGACCGAGAAGGCCGTGAGCCTCCCGGGCCGAGTGCAGAAGGGTCCGTGCTCCACGTAAAGCATCAGCGAGGGAAGAGGAGTTGGGGAAGACAGCCAGGAAGCCTGGGAACCAGATTCGGGGACTGAGACTTCGAGAACTGCCAAAATGCAGGAACCCGGTTCGCGGACCGTTTGTGGAAATGCTGCTGAAATGCCGGACTCGCGAACAAACAATTCGGGAACCGAGTCGTCACAAATCAGGCGCCGCAGGACGCGTTCCTGCGCTGGTGTGTGTGTGTGTGTATGACATTGCAGCCACTCTTTTTCTAAGTCAGATAAGCCGGAGGGCGCTGCGCATCGATCTATATCTATCTATCTATATATCTATATATATGTATATAGGCAAGTGTACATCCTACCTACAAGAACCCCAAACCCTAAAGCTTCAAAACAACCCTAAACCTTGTGAACCCTTCATCCTGAGCACACCCCTGGCATCAAACTTGGAAAACCTAGACGCAGAACCCCGACGAACCGAAGCCTAAACCCTAAACCGTGGAAAAAAATTAACCGTGAAGAACCCGTGACACCCCAAACGCCTTAAACCTAAACTCGGGAGACCTTGACTTGAAGAAACCCAAGCCCTAAATTCGGGCAGAAAACCCCTCAAGCCTCAACCGTAAACACTACAAAGCCGTTACAAAGCTCAAAATGCTGAAGCACGGGCTTTCCTAAACGGTCCCAAACCTCAACTGTGGCACACTTTTCCTTGGTGCGTTCTGGCTGTGGTCTCCCAAGCCTGAGTGTCACGGGCACGATCAGGTCATTCCTTCACATTTATAAGTAGTCTAAACTGTTTGTTCCTTTGCGGGCAGAGTGTTTAACACCCCGCCTTCGAACTTAGTCAAAGTCGTTCCAGACTAAGCTGGCTTCGACAATCTTTTCCTTGAAAACACACTGTTACGAAAACTCTTGTTTTGTTCGCAGACTCTTGCAAGTCAAGTGGCAAACTCTCCAAGTTCGCTCCTGTACAAAGACTGGGTTCCTTGACTAGTGAGCTACTTGGATCATCATCCTTTAGTCACGCAACAACAGTTCAATAACAGTTCTACGCGTGCAAACGGTTACACCATCCTTGCATGGTTTCCTGCAGTTCAAAAAGGGCTGCTGACTCACTTCTTTTCCTTTTGCCAAAAGAGGTCTCACTGCTTCTCCTTTGCTGTTGCTTTCTTTCCTTTGGTGTTTCCTTCTTTTGTTCTTCATCTTGCTGCTTCCTTTTCTTATCTCTTTGGTCTCCTCTTTCCTTATGCTGCGACTTCCTCACTGGAAGTGTGGGTCCTCACTTCCTGCTGTTTCCTGCTCTTCTCCTCTTTCTTTTCCTTCGCTCTTCTCCTTTTCCTTTTCCTGCGCCTTGGCTTTTCTTCTGTCCTTTGCCGCTCCTGGCTGCTGCTGCTTTCCTTTCCTGATCCTCACACGCTTTTGCTCCTTGGGGGTCCTTGTGCTGCTTCAGCCACCTTTTCACCGAGAGGTCGTAGTAGTACCAAAAGTACGTGTCCTGGTTCCACTTCCATTGAAACCATTTGTTCCCGAGCCGGTAAATCGCGGAAAGGCTCCTGTCTCCATTCGGAGCCTGGCACACGTCTGGGTCACCACCTCCAAGTACAACCGAAGATTCTTCCTGCGGGCCCTTCGGAAAGACTTCCTTGTCGTCTTCGTCATCCTGTCCTTTCTCCTGCTGTAGCGGCAATTGTTTCCTTGTCCTTCCTGCGTTCCTCCATCATCGCCATCATGCTGTCGAGCTTGTCCATTCCTTTCCCGGCGCTTTGTTCTTGGCTTCTGCTGCTGCTTCCTCCAAAGCTTCGTTCTCTGCTGCTGCTGCTGCCTCTGCTTCCTTCTTCTTCTTTTCCTCTGCTGCTGCTGCCTTCTTCTTCTTCCTTTCCTATGATGCCTATGATTCCTTCTTCTTCTCCTTCTCTTCTTCTTTCCTGCTGTTCTCTTCTGCTGCCGTTTTCAGCGTCTCTCTTGCAAGCTTCTTCTGCCTTTCCTCTTCTTCCTGCATCATCTTTTCCTGCTCTCTTCTTTGCCTCTTCTCCTCTTCGACTTTGCTCATTCGCTCTCAGTACTGACGGTCCTGCTCGTCTCTGGACACGAATCCTGGCTTCCTTTTCTGTTCCTGCTTCTCTTTCTTTGGCTTGTCCTTTCCTCTTTCTTTCTTTCTTTCCGTACTGGTCCTTTCCTTTTCATCTTTCTCGTGCTCGTAGATGAGCGGTAGTATGTAGGTGACTGCAGCAACCTAGATCCCGAAGGCGGTTAGAAGCAGGGAAAAGGGGGGGAAAAAGGTACCGACTAGCGAAGCGAGTCGCAGCGTGCCGAGGCAGCAAGGGGGGAAACCGGGACTAAACCCAAAGGCCAAGGGAAGAGAACCGGGACTAAACCCAAAGTAGCGATAGTCCCACCATCCCTTTTCTCCTGTGCTGCGGGACTCTCTCCATGTATGTCCTCCTTCCGTGTAGTACTTACACTCCTGGCTCACGTCCGTCGGGTACACAAAATCCTTTTCCTTCTCCTTGCTTTCCGTTGCTTTCCTCCGGATCTCCTTGTTGACCTTCTTGACCTTTGCTTTGATCCCCTCGTCGCTTTCTCCTGTGGCTGTTCCTGTTGCTTCTTCTCCTGCTTCTTCTGGTCTTGAGTAGCTTTGGGTGTAGTACTCGATCTCGTTCTGTTCAAACAACCTGCTGTCGTCCGTCCTCCATCTGTTCCTGGACTTCAAAGTACCTCCTGTCATCGTACTGGCTCATGTCCTCGTTCGGGTCTACCTTTCCTTCTTTCCCTGTCCTTTCCTGAGGCCTTGTAGGTGAAGTAGTCGACGGTGTAGTTCCTAAACCATGTCCTTCTCGGCGGTGTTCGGCTTCCTCCAAACGGTCCTTCTGCTCCAGAAGTTCCTGCTTCATCTTCTCCTGGTCTTCAAAGTATTCTGCGAACTTCTCTCTTGCAACTTCTTCTTCCTGCCAAAACGTCTCCCACTTCTCTTCCAGTGTTCCTTTGGGACCTCGCACATGTTCCTGTCGTTGTCCTGGCGTGCGGCTTCTCGTTCCTGGCAGAGCTCTTCAACGGTCCTTTTCACTTTCACTTTCCTTAACTCCTCCCTGCTCGTCGCCATGAGATCGTTCGTGTCTTGTGGCCCTTGACGTAGTGCCTGGAGTTGGCGGTTGCTTTGGCTCATCAGGTCCTTTAACTCTCTCGCTGTTCCCGCGGTCGAGCTTCCTGAGCTTCCTGACATGGCTTCTCCTTCGCTGGGGCTGCTGCACTGCACTAGTTCCCTGAGTTTCCTAACGCAGAGTCACTCATGTCAGCACAGACGCACTCCTGAGTTCCTAATGCAAGCTCCCTCGTGTCAGCG